CAGGGAAAAAAGGTCACCCACTAAAATGTCACTTTTGGCACGCCATGGCGCCGGGTGGTCTAGTTAGTGGCACATCTCTGACTTTGTCCCAGTTTATCGACTACATTGTGAAAATCAATCAAACAATGATTCTGCAAGCAAATAGAAATGCACAATTATACACAACGCTCTGTATGTGCAACGTTCTGTGTCTCTAGTTTGGAGCTGAAACAATGAGTTAGAATTTTTAGATTCCATAAAAGCTTTGATTACAATTTTTTGACATTGATCTTTTGTTCATTTTCATTATTTTCTTAAAACCACACCTTTCCATCTTTCATACATAAAAAGAAAAATCTCAAACATGCATATTTTAGAAAGTAAAAATGTGAATAGATTGAAAACAATAGACTGCTTACTTGATGGCGGCTTTCCTTAATCTTTTTTCACATTTTTCACAAGTTAGCTTAAACGTAATACATGTAAAATAGAATAGCCTTTAGATGTTGCTCTTGGTAAATGCAGGGCGTTTAGTGTTTAGTAGAGGCAACAATTTTTGAAATCATAGTCTGTTAATCCCTTTTAAGCTTTAGACTTTTTCTCCACACACCTCAACAATGGTTTGTCATCTTTATTTATATAGCGCCTTTTACATTTTACTTTTACTATTTTCACTGCTTTTTTTCCGAGACCTTCACAACAATCAAAGTGCAAAAACCAGAAAAAGAACCCTGCTATCACTGTGTCTGTATTTCTCTCCTCCTCACCCACGATCACAGCATCCTCCATGAGACGTGACCTTTTCATATGGTTAACAACTTTATGATAAACTGGGATGTTTTACAGAAATCCCCCCGGCACGGTCATTAGTGCGAAACGTGAAATGCAGCCCGTGTCACCGTCGCACTCACATGGAAATGGATCTGTCTGCTTATGGAGTGTCAGATGGTATGATAGGGCCGTTTTTCTCCAGAGCCACTCGGGGACGGGACTGGAGAGCTTTTGAGAGCCGTGTTTATCTCCATACGTCAAGCAATGCAATATAGGTAATTGTGAGAGCATACGTTACAGCGTGGCCGACTTGTATGACAAAATATTATTGCAACCTGAGCAATGCTTCATCCAGACTTTTTCTACCCCATTTGTCTGTGGTGTTCCCAGGCCAGCGGAGAGACCTTGTCCCTCCAGTGAGTCTGAGGTGTCCTACTGGTCGGACAATAACGGGATTACTGTACGGGGAGGCGATGCTTTATTTCTGTCAAAAATAGTTACTGTCGATATCAATATTGCATTTATTAAGCCACAGATTCTGAAGAAAGATTTGGGGAATAATGTATGTTATGTTTACATGAAGTAGAACCGCAGTAGAAGTTTCGAGAGGAAGATGTTGGCACTATTTCCAACAAATGCATTTTTTTCCCCAAATAAAGGAATTATTTCACTAAATCGACGTATTTTTGTTACTGCATTGAAGAAGTTTTGACTCTGTTTATTGCACAGTAACTAAGTAACTTCCCTCCTTTGTCATTTGTTGAAACATGTTGTCTGTCCCTTGTTATCTTTCTCATAATTCATACCTAAATCAATTATGCAAACTATTTCATGAACAGCGATTGGTTTTGCAGCACTACGCTCACACAATATGGATTGGTTCTTAGACTTTAGTTCAGCCTCAGTTTGGTTCCTGCTTCTGGGCATCTGCAGGACACTGTATGGACGTTGTGTTACCAGCACGATATTGAATGTAATCAATGAACGAGGGAATTTAACACAATCTATATATAGTTTGTATACGATGCCCTAAAGTCAAAAACAGCTCATGAATATTCTCAGGCTCTTCAGAGAACTTGCCCTTTCTCTACAAAGTGAAATATGTCAATCCATGTAAAAAGAAATGTTTAGTTCCATGTACAGCGTCTCCATCTGTCACACAATCTCTGCTCTCGCTAACCCTGAAGCACTTACAGTATTCTACGGTTGCCTCTTTGAGAAAATGTCTGACAAGCAATTGTAGTTGGAACAAGTTTGGCCCGGGTGAAAATGAGAGCAGCCATCATTCAGCCAGTATGTTGAAGTACGGCGGCGTGTGGTTGGTCAAGGTGCAAAAACAAACATATACACAAAAACATATGATTTTGACATACATCAATCATGCCGCCCTATAATATTATAATATAATAATATAATTCTTTTGACACATGCACGTTTCAATCATTTTTTTCACACAAGGAAGTAAAGCAGGGCAGACTACCATAGCCTACATCCAGCACTGATAAACCTGTACCCGATTTAATTACAGATGTTTTTTACTGAGAAAAAAAAATCTGAATTGTGACACTATGTCTGCTAGTTCAAGCCATACTTTGGAACATTTCTAAGGACTCGAGGATAAAGCCCTTTAGGAAAATTGGCAAGTGAACCTTTATTTATAGACATTCCTTATTTTGCAAACAATTAAATTTTGCACTCGTGGAATCATTTTGATATAATAATAGCATAATACCAGGTAGAAAGAAGTTTTTGTTTTTTAAGTGTATATAGTTTTTTTTGTATGTGTTTTTACTGTGCTTTTTTACTGTCTACACAGCACAAAAGCTGTAAACCTAGGCTGTTTTTCAAATGCGCTCTACAAATAAAGATTTGATGGATTATATTAACACTCAGTCAGTCCATTTCTGTCAAAATCCATCACAGCATTTGAAAATCAATGCACGCAACAGGCCGAACCAAAAGTGGAACCATACGGGAGACGGCAACATCACAAACAAACTACCTACTGATTTCCCTTCATTCTCATTGGCTATTCATACCGCATCCATTTTTCTTCATAGATTCTCCAATTCTTGCTTTCATTTCCTAGTTTTCTCCAGGCGCTCTTCTTTAGATACCGATCGACCGCGTGTCCACATGCAGACACACACGCTGTAGTAGGCGTGGATTGAATACAACTGAACGACATTACGGCTGATGTATGGGTTTAGCTGGGAGCGCTGCGGTTTCTCCTTCCTCGTCCGCGGCTTTATCAAAACGAGATAAACTATAGGCAAAAACGCACTCCTTTGTCCTCACCGCTGACATTTAATCAGCCCTGGGTGTATTTCGGTACACAGGGACCAAATCAACGTTTTGTCGGAAGACGTCCCACCACGGAGAGCACGTCTTCTTTATGGCCCGGCTCCGGATAAAAAGAGAAATGCTGGAAAGGAGTGGGCGGGACATGTTGTAGGTGGCTCTAAAGTCCAGAGTGAGTCAATAGAGTGTTAATCTAAGCAGCATGCACAGTATTAGGGACAGATGGGATGCATGAGTGGGTATATTTATTATATGTTTGCCTGATTTAATTTTAAAAGGTAATAAATTATATTAAGGAAAGTCTTTTGGAAGAGGAACAGAAGCGTGGTCCTGCGGTTTCTGTAGAATCGTCCAAAGTGATGAATGTTGTTCATGGTTACAGGACAATACACGAAACCCATGGTACAATATTATCGTGTTAACCGCATTTGCTGCAGAGTCACAGATGAATGTTGAACTTTTTTGTATTGTGTACGTTTCATAATCTTGACTAATGTCGTCTTATGGCCAGTTTGAAATCCCTCTTTGGCATCGTGTTACATTAAGAGCACATGTGTCAAACTCAAGGACATTTTTTGTGGCCCCTGACAGGATTTTCAATATGAATCACTTGCAGCATCAAGGTTAAATGGAACTATTATTGCATGTTTCTCAAGAAAACGACCACATCATTTAATCTATTCTGAACCCAACATGTAACTGGAAATGGTTAAATACAACAATAACCATAACCATCTGGACTAAATAAGGGGACGAAAATGAATGATCATTTGAGGCGCTATTGTTCCACCTTAGTCTCCACAACCAGCCACCACAACACCCACTCTATTTACTTTAATGTTTATTTTTTTATTTTTGTGAATGTGTGGATGATTTGGCGGTGTCTGCATGGATTTTTGCTGAAATGGGGGTAATCTGACTCTTAATTTATTGCATAGTTTACGATTTAAAACGTACTAAATATACTGTATAACAAGCCACAGATGCATTTTAGAGCTGGCAGTGTTGTGTCTTATTGTATCCATCCCCATCCCTCTTTCACATTGCTATAACCTGCATGCATTAGTACATTCACATCACTCTGGCCTTCTGCTGGATGTGTTGAAGCGCCAAGTACGTTAATGGCTCTTTGGCACAAAGTTCAAAATGCTGTTGTGTACTATGGACAGGAAATCAGATGATCGCACCATCCTGGCACTGCACTGCACTGAAATGCCTTTCCATTAAGTCTTATGTAAAATCTAATGTTTGCTTTTCAATGGTGACAATAGAATCTGTGCGCTCCACTGAACTCCTCTAAAATGGGAACCTCTGATAAAATCTTTGCTGATGGAGGACTTAGTGCTGGAGTTTGGGACATGTTTCATACCCCGAGACTCAACAAAACTTCTACAGATTTCAATTTGTGATTTAGGTTTTTGACCTCATACACAATTCTCTCTATCCATGTCCTGAATTTGTTCAAATGGCAGTTCAGGAGTAAGTAAGGAGTAAGACTGTACAACATGTGTCTAAAACAGTATCAAGCACTTTATCAAGGCGGTGGTTTTTTGCCGCTGGAAACCCACATTTTTCCAGAGGGATCCATCTATAATATCTATCATGATCTCTCACTGTTGTTATTTACTGTAGATTGTTTGTGAAAAGGGGAGCTATTGCCACTGCTGCAAAATTTATTTTCACAGTAAAAAACAATGAATACTGGTTTTATTTGTCAGTATTGGTCAAGGGAGCAATTTGTCATGATCATTTTTCACATATCATAGATGAAGCCAAGGTCATAAATAATTATTGAAAGATTGAAGTATGAAATTCATGGCTTCTCTGAAAGGCAAAAGTAATTGTTGCTTGTACTGGGCTTTGTGTTGTTCTGGTTTACTTTGGAGTTTGAAATGAGAAGCGATGGCAATTTGTTCCATTTCTAACACATCTGCACTTGTTTCCTTTAGTGCCGACCATTGAGGACTTCTCGGCTCTTCCGTCCAACCCCAAAACCACCACCATGTTCACCACCAGCACCCCTGTGCCTACGGTCCGCCAGCACAGTGACACCACCATGTCAGGGCCGGACCCCAGGGAGGGTCGGGACCCCTACGAGGATCCCCGAGGGCCCCCGTTGTCTGTCACCACAGAGCCCACCGTGGTGGAGCTGCCCCCCACGCCACGCCGCTTCTGTGAGGCCACCCGCAGACGAGCCATCGACTGGCCCCAGACTCACACAGGCAGCACCGTGGAGAGGCCCTGCCCCAAGGGAACAAGAGGTACTTCATCACCCACTCCCACTGTTCTCGACCTCCGTTCACAGAAACACTGCACCATTTGTTTTATCACGACTTTGTGACTTGGCATCATTTCAAAGAGCCTTCATGCTTAAGCCCTAACTTTTTTCTGTTTCATAAATGGGTACCCTTTGTTTTGACATCAATCCTTATCAAAAATACTCGTTAATCTACAGTCACAATATTTGAACCATTATTTAAAATCCTGAATAAACACAATTATTATTAGACTCGGACTAAAATTACATTCAGGGATGCTGTCACAAAGCATAGACTGTTTTTGCTGGCCTTACCTAAATCTACTTAAAATTCAAGAACTCTATAGTGTGATAAACCCCTCACCTGTAGTTACCCAGCAGCTCCTTTGTTTTTCTTCTATGTTTTAGTCAAACTGACAAAGTATGACGTTTATATCAGCGTTTTTGAGAATACATTTTTAGTAGTGATCGTGAAATAGTTCTGAAAGTTAAAAATGTCTTGTATTCATAGTGCTGGCCATGCATCCTGACCTCTAGTATACTTCTCTTTGATGGTATGGCAAAAGAACATTCCTCTTTATGTAGAAAATGAAAAAAAAAAAAGAGTCAACGAAAAAAGGCGCATGTTGTAAGACGTACACCATTAGCAAGACTGTTCGAGCCACTGAGACAGAGAGAGAAACACGGCTACATGACTTCATTGTTTGTGTTGGAGTTAGAAATAAATACTATAAACACTTAATCACCAGCCTACTATGGGCAGGACGCACACCTCTGCAGTCCTCCACAAAGAATTGTTTATCTTCCACATCCAAGTCGAGCCCAAAAGCCATTTTTCCACTTGTAACGAGAGTAATCCGAGTGCAGAATGCCCATTTCCTGTTTCGCTGAGCACATGCATCACCATGAAGATGATGGATAATATTTGGAAAGGTATGAAAACAAGCTCCACAAAAAGAGCAGTGTTTTTCAATTCTCTAATTACATCCAGAAAGCGAGGTCATTACGTTACAGGCAACCCCAAAAAAAGCGAAAGGACACGCGGGCAGCCGGCCATCAAAGCGGCGGTGGAAAGGGCCGCTTCAGCCGCTCGTTGTAATAACTGCGGGGTTGACAGTGCACGAGCCGGCCCTGGCAACCCGTCACCGAAACTGACAAGAGCTGTCAAAATAAAAGCAGGGCTATTGTACGATGAAAGCGAGGATGAGACAATGTTGTGACTGAGGAGGTGAGGAGGGGAAGCTGGGTCTACGCACGCAGCGGTGGGAGCGGGGGGGCTTTATTAAATCTCGTTGATCAAGTTAAACCAACGCGGAAACGAGTGTTACAGATGAGAATGGTGAAGAAATGTGATAAGAGAACCGTTTTAGAATGCTTTGGATGAGTTACTTTCATGTGTGGCAAGTACGCCTGCCCATCTCCATAATGATTTGTGCTTTCTACCTCTATGCAGAGAAGGGCAGGTAATGAAGTCACATTTAGGACCCATTATGAATTATATCATTTCTTACCGCATTGAAATTGAGTCGTTTTTCTTCATTGAATTTCTGTCTGTTGTTGAAAAAAAACACAATTTTTGTACATATTCCATACATTATTTCATTGGCCAATATTGTGGTGCCCCATTTCAAACTCGCTCTATAAAAGGATCTCCTCATTGATCTAACTTTACAGACTGTATCTTTGCAAAGTTCATAAACAAAACTTGAAAGCGCACTTGCGTTAGATGCGTCATTTTCAAAGCGGCAAACTTGAACAATTTCATCCAATTCTACTGACTTGTTGGTTATGTATGCCGTTTATATAAGAAGTTTTAGATGTAATCCCAAAAGATGATTTCTTTCAGAATTACATCTAAGTCTATAACTTCAATGTTTCGAGGTCTCTGTGCTCAGGATTCAGTTCTAAGTCTATAACTACAGATTGTTTGTGAAATCTATTGGTTTCATCAAACAGACCTGGAGTTATTTTAGCTCCATTCTAATATTATGCTAACTCTGTGCTAACTCTGTGCTAACTCCGTGCTAACTCTGTGCTAACTCCGTGCTAACTCTGTGCTAACTCTGCGCTAACTACATGCTAACTCCAAGCTAATATAAATTTCTGGCATAAATCAACACTTACTTACTACTTACTACTAAAAACAAGTTTATCTCTCAATTCTTTTGGAGAAATGGTTCTTAAAATCCCTTTGTTTAGATCCGTGTGCCTTGAATTTGATGGCGCCATATTTGATTTTGATATAAATATATAGCAGACGATAATGTCCATTCATCTAAAGGCTAAAACATTCTCAAGGTCACGTTAAGGGCCGAAATGATTACAAATTACTAGATTACATTTTTTCTTTAAGTGATTATTGCCTCAGAACAGTGACCGATGTGATGACTCATTTAATTCCTCCAACAGTTGCGACACTTTACACAAAGAAACGAGAATGGTAAACACAAAGAACAAGATGACTTCTTGCACGCCAACACCACAAATCATCTCATTCTTCATGCCACCACATTGCATTTACATACACCACATCTTATCGCAATCCATCCACCACTTCTTGTGCAATTATGCCAACAGACAAACAAGAATAGGATAAACTACTCATTGATGCAAAACAAAAAAATGTCTTTGGCCTCTATCAGTGAGAATGTGTCCACACACTACAAAAAATATAACATATAAGGTAATAAATGCTTGTTAATTTGAGATCTTGACAATCTAAAAACAAGATTTGACATTGGGACAAATAAAAATGTCTAAAAAGGCAATTCAAGAAATGTCTTCCTTGGAATTAGTCATAAATTACATGACTTGAAATAATACTAAATGGCTCTTCCAATGGCAAGTCTTGTTTTAAGAAAGTCAAAATATACTCAAATAAGATCAATACTTTATACTAGCATTTATTACCTTATATTTTGTCACTTTTTGCAATGCAGAAAAGCTATTTGTCCAATAACTGTGTTCCGTGTGTCTTCTCCAGGCATCGCCTCGTACCTGTGCACTGTGTCCGGGGCCTGGTGCTCCCACGGGCCGGACCTCAGCAACTGCACCTCCCACTGGGTCACACAAGTGGCCCAGAAGGTAAGACATCTACCACTCGTATGCTCGGGGTGTTGAACGCTCTAGATGTGTTTTGGATTAGCCCGGGGAAATGAAGTCCCATAGCATTGTCAGTGGGGTGGTTCCATTGGCCCCAAAAACGCTCGATGAATCACTAGATTAGAAGTCCAGATGTGGGTTTGGATTGGGACATCATTACGTACAACATCAGCACGGACTTTTCACAGCTGTTGACCTTCTTTTGTTAGTTCTTACATTCGGATATTTATGTTTAGAGGGATTCTTGCTTGTCTGTGTAATGTAATCTGTTCAACAAGAGACACCACTCCCCCCATGGCTCTTTTGACCTCTGCTCACCCGCTTATATGTTGCTTCTTAGCCTTCCCTACATTTTTCAAGCATATATTCAACGGAGCTCTGTTGACCAACGCGTGTATCTGTTGAAAAGTTTGAATATGAATTTGGAACAAGACCGTAGAATGGGAACACCTCAGGATTCCCCCGGATGAGCTGGAGGAGGTTTGTGTTCATCGGGAAGTCTGGGCGTCTCTGCTTAGACTGTTTTCCCCCGTGGCCCAGAAACGGATAAAGCGGAAGAGGATGGATGGATGGATGGATGGATGGAGGGCAGAACAGGAGAGGCATTGAACAGGCAGGAGTGCTACATGGATGTGGTCTTTCGGTGCTCTTCAGTGCAAGGACTCTAAAAGCAAGCAAATTTTAAGCCTCTCAAAAAGGGTATTAATTAAAAAACACATTTACATTTATTTCCAAATAGTTTGATGTTTTCTTGCATATTAGTAGATCAATAGTAGATCAAAAGTGTAATGTTATTCATTGGGGAGATTTTTAATGTCCCCTTCGTGCCACTATTTTTAAATGTTGAACTCCTGATAAACAAAGCACATTATGGATTACTGTTTTCCTCTGCCCCCGTCTGAAACATCCACACAGCCGCAGCTGGTAGGGCATTCCTGCTGATGATCCGTCAATTATCAGACATGATCACAGCTCCGTATCGACTGAATCTAACGATCAGAAGTGCGGCGAACACTTTCCCCGAGTCCTCATCTGAGCTCTGCACAATCAAAGAGCCCGAAGACGCTGTTATTTCAGTGACTCGCCGCTTTGAAGTTCCACTCTCCTGCAGCTGGAAGTCTGTCAGATGTACACATTCTAGTCTCCGCCGCTGCCAACAAAGCACAACACCAAACATGCTCCATTCAAAGAGGGAATACCAGGCCTTGCTGCATAATGCAACAGGTCTAAAGCAATGCATCTCCACTCTTGCGATTTCTGACGATATTCAGATGTAAATAATTGAGGTGTTTTGATGAAAAGATGTGCATGGTTAGCGGACGCACTTTCTTTGGTCTTGGTGGTAGCATGAAAATGTCTACTTTATGGAATGTGTATTGATATCATTGGAATGAAATACCAATGTGGTACAAAGGGACCTACCGATTTGGAGTTTTTAGAACCGATTAAGATGTTTTATGATTATACTCTACTGATGTGTTCTGATGTTATCTGATGTGTTCTTTTCCTCCAGTCTGATGTGTTCTTTTCCTCCAGTAATTATTTATAAACTATTCTTTGATGTTATATCGGCTAGAAACACTGTATATATTTCATTTAAATACATGCAGCAGCATATAATTTAGATAATTGAAAAAATAGGCTCTAAATATAGTCTCTCCACAGCTACATTTGCACTATCAGCACATTTCAACAAATAAATATTCAGATTGTCCAATTAGTGACTGAATTAACCACTAAAAGCTGAACTCTCCTGGACCTTTAGGGAGTTAATTGCACAATACTATTTAAAAGTATAAAATTGACCACTGGTGTATCTCTAACAAATTGTAAATCAATTAAGACTTAAGACTTGAGTCTGACAGCTGCTTTCCTCAAAAAAAAAAAGAAAAAAAAAGAAATAGAATTTCTCAACTTAGTACTTCAATGTTTTAGTGTTGGACCATAGACTTACCGTGAGCTTTAAGGCTGGATACCAAACTTGAAACCAAAATGATGCAGTTGTAAATACTCTTTAGCGATAAGAAAAAACAAAAACCTGTTACAACTGTTACATGCCTGTAAGAAAGAGATCTGTGAGTCACATTCCAACACTTCGAGTCAAAACAATGTTTTGTTGACGGTTTGTGATGGAGACGATAAGAATAGAATCAGAATCAATAGTTTCAATAGTTTGAAATGGACTCCAACTTTATCATTCTCAAGTTTAGTCCCTAAAGTTTTGACCATTAAATTGCACCAGAACACTTTAATCTCGTCCCTCCCTTCGCGCCCCATCGGCACTGAATTACAAATGATCTGCTCCCAGTTACTTAAAGCCTGACTTGGACTCGACTCGACAAGCTCCCCACCGGCTCTTTGTGTGTATTTTTAGATCCGAACGGGTGAAAACGCTGCTAATTTGGCCAACGAGCTGGCGCGGCACACCCAGGGGCCGGTGTTCGCGGGGGACGTCAGCTCCTCGGTGCGTCTCATGGAGCAGCTGGTGGACATTCTGGACGCACAACTGCAGGAGCTCCGGCCCAGCGAGAAGGACTCCGCCGGACGCAGCTTCAACAAGGTATAATGGCCCAGAGGAGGGAGACATGTGGAGAACAGGACAAGTTTTATCTTTCTGATTTGAGTGAGTTTCATATTTCAGGCCAAATCTCATTCAAATATGGTATTGTTAACGTACATTATTTCAAACTAGACATTTAGGAGTTTAACATAGTCGCGAAAAATGATGAAATATGAGGTCATAATGGCTTGATATGAATGGTTTTTATCTTAATTTAAGTTCAGCCTGGCTCGCTTAAAACAAGACAAAGCCATTTAGTCTTATTTCAAGATCTGTTTCTTTATTTTCTCATTCCATGGAGATAATTTTGCTTATCACATCCACAGATTTTGTTTTAAAGGAGTCAAAACGGGCTCAAATTAAGATCAATTTTAACCAAATTTGAGCAATTATTTTTAATCACTTTTTGCAGTGAATGTTTTACTGCATCAGAATCTGGAGATGGAGAAATTATGCAATTGGTTGTAAAGTGTAATGGTGAATATTGGTAAACGGCATTTGTACCATTTCATGTAGAAAGAAAAGAAAAACACCAACTTGTTAGTTTCAGTATCCACAGTCTGTGATGGATTCATTTCTTGTACAGGCATAATACAAGAAATTAATGGGCATAAAACTTCATACATATGTGAAAAACTTCCCTCCTCGTCCTCATACTGTACATATAAATACAATACTGTTAATTTCGAAATATCTGAACAATAAGTAGGTGGAGTAATTACAATGACAGACCTAACGAAGAGCAGAGTTATGAGAACAAAAAGTACTTATAGAATTACTCGCCCACACGCACACTTCCACGCATACAGACATATGGTGCTATGATGTTACGAATAGAAGGCAATATTTGACCACTTTTATTCTTCTTAAAACTATTACTTTGCCTCGGGGACACCACAGCGCCACACGCAATTACGACAGGCGCTCTGAAGGTAGACATTTGGCCCTTAGCGCACGTTTGGTGGAGCAATCCAACACTCACCGACCTGCGCCTCTCCGCCACCACCGCCGAAACCATGGCTTTTGGTAACCCCTCATTAAGCCGTGTCTCCGCTTTGCCCCGACTCGCTGTCAGCACGGCTCGGGACATTCATTAGCCGATTAGCAGGACACATTCTGCCAAAACAAAAGCGGCGCACCGGCTTCCGCACCACGTCCACATAGCCTCGGGTGCCGCGGAGGCTCAGGCAGGTCGGGGCCCGGGGCGAGACCGGTTCCTCAGACGCTGGCCGGTAATTACCACACTTTGGAAAAACAGCCTCACCTGGCAGCAGCGCCGTAAAGCAGCTAATGGCCACAAGTCCCCCCAACCCCCCGCCGACACATGGAACAAGTCTTTATCACTGACACATTTGGGGTTCTTCTGCCGCGAGAGAAAGTAGGCCCCCCAGACAAACCCCACTCACTCCCAGCTGCTGCGAGTGCCACGGCGAGATGACTGACAGTTTGAGAAATTACATTGTTATTCGGGTGTTTCTTGGTAGCACTCGCTTGGTAAACAAGGTGATTTGCAACCAAAAATGGCACCGGTTGTTTGTGCCCTTATGTTCCAACAGCCACGTCGCTATTATCCATTTACAGATAAGAGTGAACAAGGTTTTTTCTTTTTTCTTCTTTTCGCACTGATGGCACTGCATTGATTTGCATCACAACTACGCTTGATTGGCTGCTGACAAAGAAAACTGACGTGACCAGTTTCAGGTTTTTTTCTCAAAATGTTTTCATGCCTGGTTAAAAGACGACATGATTTGCATCCAGTTTTCCAAAAGTTTGATTACTTAGACTGGACAAAAAAGAGAAAAGTAGACTGCTGATTGAAGTAAGAAATCAGCCTTTTCTTATAAAGCACATATTTCTAAACCTTTCCTTTCCAGTATGAGAGATTGGCTTTTCTTGCTTTTTTATATAAATAGGTGACCAGATACATAGTGCTCGTTTTAATTGCACTGCATTAATAGTATCCCCCCCAAAGCCTGTCCAAGCTACACCCACTGGGATCAAGCAGATTCTGTATAGATACAATTTATCTACTTGAGAATACCCCTCTCCCAGTGGCACAGAAATGGCCACATCTTGACTCGCAAAATTCCAAGTTCCTCTTTGCGTTCGCTTTACATCGACGCTCTCAAAGCCCCTTATTTCAAACCTAATATTCAGTACGCGCCCATTCTTCAGTGTGTGATTTACGCCTTGGACTCAATTAGGGAAGCGATGAACTGACTTTTAACGCCGAGATAAGCAAGCGTTTATTTCTCTTAAAAAACAAAGCTCCACATTTGTATCACCCGTGCAGCAGAAAAAAAAAAAAAACAAGCCATCTCTCCCCACGTTATTTATTTCATCGCTAATGGCTCGCATTACAACCTTAGCCTTAGCATTTTCACTACTTTTTATCTTTCCTACTCTGCCTTCTACCAACCATTAACTGATCCATATTCATATCCACATCCTCGCCTGCAAACGTGTAAGCCTGTCGCATCATTCCGAAGTAGTTAATCAAGTCAATGTTTTGGTAAGTGCTCTGACTCAGTGATCTTTTTGTTTTTCTTTTCCCTTTCTCTCTCTCTCTGTATCTCTCGCCAACTCTTTCTGCAATCTCTCACAAAACGCTCGGTCTGCTTATTGCGTGGAAAAAGCTCCAAAAAAGGGAGAAGACTTGCAGGGCGTATATGAAGGTATAATATGAAGGATTTGTGTTATTACTCCTGCTTCTGTGACCAGCAGCATGCAGCCCTGTCCGTGTTCACCCGCTCCCTGATTGTCTTGTCGAATATAAGAGTACTGTTTCCACCAATGTTTTATTTTTTTAGTTTTTATACCAACACTTTTTTGTTGTTGCTTTCCCTAGGTGTCCGCCAATTTGTACAGACAACCTAAAAGTTACTGACTTTGAAAACGAAATGAATGATGGAATTCTTTGACCTGGCGTTTTTTTGGTCGTAAAAGAGGGAAGTGATTGATTTAAGATTAAAATATCCTTTATTTCGTGCCACAATGGGGAAATTTCAGTGTTGCATCACCAGTTGCAGAGCAGTAGGAATGAGGAGCACACAGCACAAGATAAATGAACCATAACTCTATATTAAAATGAAATAAAATCTCTAACTTCAGCATAATCAAGAAGCAAGTACACATTTCCTTGTTTGTGCTGTAGTTTAGGGCTGTGATATTTTTGTTTGATAATCAGTTATTTGTCTGATTTGTTTAATCATTTAGTATCCCAAAATGTCAGTGGATATGGGATTTTTGTGTAATGTATTTGACCACAACAAAGCTCAAGTTGTTTGAATAAAAATACTTCTTCTGCTGTCATCATACAATTAACTTAACTAGTCATACAATCTCTCCTCAGCATGTTTAAGTCTGTCAGGTAAAAAAAATCACTAAATTGGTTGACAAATATTTTTCAATAATGGATTAGTTGTTGCAGCACTACTATAGTTAAAGTTCTAGATAAGATGGCGGTGAAACAACCTAAGCCAAGTATACTATATCCATGAAAGTAGCTCGTAATACTAACATGATGAGCAAAGCTGGGTCTCGAATTTCTTCTTCAAAGCCAGAAAAGAAACATCCATCCCACTTTTTCAAATAATTATTTTTGCAAATCAATAGTTTTTCTTAACATGTGCGAACGCAATGTCATTCAGTCTCCGACATCAAAAGCACACAAATAACATTTTTGTGATATTGGAAAACTTTCTACAAACTTCAAAGCATTTGTTCTTTTGTATTAAAAAAAACCTCTTCACACATCTGCTAACTACAAACATGCTACCAACAAAGCTGTTTTAATAACGGAAAAAAGGGGAACAAAAATTAAAGCTTAGAACCAGCTGTTGGTCCAAGATGTTCATTTTAAATTTCTTTTAAAAGTGTAGATTTTCATATTCTTTCATCGCGGCATCTGGGAACAAGACGAGCTTTGTTTTTGCTTTCCATTAGTATTTTCAAACTAATCAACCTGCGCCGCATTTAGCTCAACCTTTTTTTCTTTTTCATCGGAAGCCTGCCAAATGGATGCCGGTGGAATGGTACTTGTTTTGGCTCCGTGTCAAGGCAAACAATCATAAATGCTCCGGCCTATGGTTTTGCTTTGGTGGAAACAGAGCTCATGTGATGTCTTGCAAGCCGTCTGTATGTACTGTGTATGTATCCGCTGTCCTCTCCGCCTTTCCGTCCGGCTACTGTCAAATTCACTGGCGCTTTTGTCCAATGTATCAATCTCTATATCCCCCCAACCTCTGCTCCAGTGTTCACCCAGTTCTTCTCCATGTCTGTTCCTCCCCCACTCCCACTCTCTCTCTGGCTGCTTCTCTTGTCGGTTCCTTCCACGTTGTGTGAATAATTGCCTTCCCACGGTCGTAATTGCACCTCCCTGTCAGCCAGAAGTATGATCAAAGTGGCAGCGTACTCAATTTTCACTTGCTTACATTGTACAATATCTAGTCTCACTTGTCCCAAAAATGAGAAAAGTGAGACATGTTTTTTTTTTTTTTTAATCTCTCACTCTACCAGCGTGTTATCTTGGGATTCCTATCTTTGACGCGTTAATGTGTTTGTGCGGCGTTGAGATTCGACGCGCCGTCCTCTAGACGTTTTGTTTTTGTCTTTTTGTCATGGAAGTTTGCCTCTCAAAGACACGGCGTGATGCAAGCGTTCAAGGTGCCCTTAATGGTGAAACAAAACGGCATTCGCTGGTTCTCTTTGCTGGCTATTTATAGTTAGAATGGTGCATGCACTAGGTGAGCCGGAGCCACTGGGTAATCAGTAATTGCGCTCAGTACATAAGGAGGATTGTTCTTCGTCACATAGGAATCATGTCGTTGTCTTTAGCATGTGTCTGCGAAGGTCATTCGTAGCGTGGCCCTCGCGTTTACCTCCCTTGAAGTATACATGGATCTCTTGTGACAGAACGAGGCTAATTATGAGCCGCAGGTCGGGCTTAATATTTACAAGTGTACGCAGTCAAATTCTGACTCATCTTAAGCTGTTAGCATCTACCATGGAGAGAAGAAAATTAAAATTGCCTTTAGTTCATAATCATTACTCATTTCAAGTGGGGATTTTAGACACTCAATATATGCTAGCTCAAAATAAATATTTCAACTATGCACTGAAAATTTTTGGATAATTTTCTGCTATTAACTAAATAAACAGTCCCCAGCCATGCGTTCAGACAGATTTCTCTTTCACAGAGTAACTGGCATCCTAGTGTGACCTCTGTTGTGATCAATACCGGCAGCGTTCTCCTGAGGATGGAGAGCAGCATTGGAGAATACAGAGGAATGGAGTTTGTCTGTATTTGGATATTTTCCTTGGCCAAAATGAACTAACCATAATATAACTGCTCGCTCATTGTTTTACTTACATTTTTATTTTGATGACTGTACTTTCTATGACAAGCCGCTCTATTGCTCTTTTTGAAATCATGGAGCATCTCAACCCTGCAGTCTCCGAGATTCCATTTTATTTATTCTTGTATAAATCATTAAATTATTCTTGTAAATCACAACAGTGGTTATCTCAGAGGATCGTTGAATTCGCCAACACAGATCAGAGAATCAAACGATTCAAACACCAGAAATGCAATGATAAAAAAACACATTGGTGGTACATCAATGTCATTAGATCAATATTTCCGTTTACAGTCAACAATATTTTACTTTCAATACGACATACATAATATCTGCTTTAAATCTATCCAAAATCCATAGCCAACTTCTGATTGGTCTTAATGCAAACCATTCAACCAGTCTTTCTTATTCTTAGTCTTTCTAGCACGAGTGACCGGCCACCTTTTTCCTTTACATTGCGTGGGTCCTGGCCATGTTTCAACCCCCCATTGTTCTCCATTTTTTTTAAAACAACTCCACAATTAAAGCCAATCCCCTTCCTCTGTTCACCCAGTGTTCACTCTCCTCCTTACAAATTAGACACAGCCGACCTTTTTGGCCCTCGTTCAGATTTCATGGGTCCTTTGAGGATGGCTCACTAGGAGGCATAGACCATTTACCGTCTTGTCTGCGAGTAATGGGTGCCGACCCTGTAATCGCGGTCTCCTCTTCCCTCTCCCGCGCCTTCTCTCTTCGCTGCACCCGTATTAACTCCGATCATAGTTGCAACTCGCATGGCTCGGGTTGCCGGCAAGGTCAGGGGCCTGGGAGATTGATTTGCGCGTACGTCGGCCCTGACACAGTCTAAAGACGCATCCGGAGGACTTGCTCATTGCCGCCGTGAAGCATGGTCTCCAACAGTCGTACGTTGTTAATCATACGTTGCAATAACTTGGGCTGGAACTGGCTTGTTTACTTCTGAGTTCTGCTTGTGGTCAATTAGTGTTTTGGATAATCACCGCTCTGGTTAATTGGTACAGTGCTCAAGTGCTTGCTGTGGCTAATTACCAGTTATTGTGGCTGCAGTTAATAGCACCTATGGTTAAATTGTCGCGGTGTTACTCAAGTCAAGGAGGACCAAAAATAGCCGCATACTTTTTTGTCTTAATTCTAAATGGCTATATCAACCAGAAGAAATAGGCGTTGTGTTAAGTGCTGCTTACCATTTCGGAAAGGTTAACGTTGATTACTTTTTGTCCCCCTCATAGGATGATTTGCGCAACCTTTTGGAAAAGCAGTGGGCGACCGCAGTGCATTCTATGATCTTTTCTCCAGATCTTGAGCTGGTGTATTAGTTATGTGCATGTTTAAGGGTGATGGGTGATTTTTGATTATGTGAAAAAGAACTGAAGCACACTTTTGTCGGCTCATCGTGCAAGATGAGGTCAGAGAAATTACCTTACAGCAGGTATGTGGAAGGCAAAGTGATCAGAAAATGAACATCTAAAGTCTAATATTCATATTCGTAGTGGTGTTTAAAAAATTCTGTAATGGTATATCAAAAGTTCTGTTTACAAATAACAATCTTGACATTTGGACGACCTAAATAGGTTGGACCTTGTTAATCTTTAGTCCTGGTTGGGTCTATAGACTTGAGTGAAACTTGGACAGTAAGAATATCCTTCAAAAGTTCATTTATTTCAGTATTTCAACTTAAAATGTCAAACCATTATATGATATGAACTCATTACATGCAAAGTGATTAGTTTGCATAATTTTGACGATTATGGCTTACAGACTATTATTTTTTTTATTCCGAAATATGTTTGGTTCTTAAAGGCAAGCGAGGCTTGATTCATCTCACTTTGCGTGTAATCATCTTTGTATTAGATTCACATTGTTGAATTAGTTAGTAAATGGACTTTCAGCTGTGTTTGCCCCACAGTATATAGGTTAGACCTTGCACTGGCTTTAGTCCTGGTCTGGTCTAGACCTGATTTAGTCAAGCCTTGATGTATATCTTCTATCTCAAAGAGAAGTACGTTTTTCAACTTTTCTTAGAATCTCTGACCTAGTTCTTTCAACACCACGATTTTCCACTTCATTTTCTCAGTGCAAAACCAGATGCTCATTGTGATAAAGATCACCTGGACTGGCCTAGTTTGACATGTGCACTCTAGCCTTGAGAACCGGCCCAAGTGTCCCTAACACGATTAGACAACGTTTACAGTATTTTTGCCGTGACCGTGCCGCGCAGAAGCCGCGAACCCTCCTTTGCCGAGGTCAAAGGAAACTCTTGTTATAGCAACATACGATACTGGTGCAGGTTTGTCGGAATGTTTTGCTTACTTACTGCTTATCAGAAACCAGGAAATGAAAGGATATGCCATAGAAAACAAGACCTCCAAATTCCCCCCATTCTTGACTTCTCCTTCTGCCACTCCTGACACGGATTTCATCATAATGCCACCTTCCTGTTTGAAGAGAATATGGCTGGAGGCGCTCGGGGCCTAGATCTTGTTATGAAAATAAGTCTGAGCGGCTTATGAAGGTAATTGTTGGATGGAAAATGGCTTCAGACTCAATATTTTTCGGAGGTTGCGGCGTACTTTGTTTTTCAGAAGAAAAAAAAAGATTGCTTTTGAAAGTCTGTATTTTGCCTCGAGCAATTCTGCATTCAAAGTTTAGCACAATTTATACGGTATTATGAGAAGGCACATTATGCATTCTATTATTTTATTTACACTTCAACCTTGTTATTTGTAGTCGCTGCATGCCCCGTTTATATATCCTGTTTATCTCCCTCCGTAATCTACAGTTTAGTTCAGAAGCAAAAGTGTGCTCACATTTAAACTTCTGCGTGTACACAGGCCATTGTGGACACCGTGGACAACCTCCTCCGGGCTGAAGCGCTGAAGTCCTGGAGGGATATGAACGCCACGGAGCAGAGCCATGCCGCCACCATGCTGCTGGACACGCTGGAGGAGGGAGCCTTCGTGCTGGCCGAGAACCTCATCGAGCCGGCCATCGTCAAAGTCCCAGCGGAGAATATCAGTGAGTGAAGTCTAGTGAAAGGGATTGGGGTTTGTGTTTGTGTGATGGGACTTGGGGATCGCAAGCTTGATAGTTATTTCACGTTTCACCTTTTTTTGAATTTCCCTGTCTCAACAGGTCATTTGATTTGAATTAGAAATGTCATTCATCCTTTGGAAATCCATGGGTTGCCAAGTATTATGGTTAACTGCTTTTTTCTCTGCCCAGAAAACAAAATGTGTTTTTATATCAACCCTTTAGGCACCCAGAGGTTTTTCAGTAATTTGATGTGAAATAGACATAGAGGAGCCCTGAAACTAAGAGAGAAAGAGGACCAGTACAATCAATAATCGAAGTAAACAAAATGTTTAAAAAATGACTATATCCGCTGTAAGGGTAAAGGTACCTAAAGGGCTAAAATACCAGTGTTGTGTTCTCATATATACAAACCTCATCTGCTTTTATAATGTTAGTTATTAGTTTAGTTAAGTTATTACAGCCATTATTCATCCATTACAAACGTTAAACAACATAAGTTTTACATCTCTCGAGACACATTCCAGCCATTACCAATCCACCTCCTCATCTCCATGGCGATGGACTACTTCAACACCATCACAAAACCTGTGTTCATTTTAAAGACAATAAATTAGGGGATGTAATTACCTTGTTGACACATTTGGGCTGCCAGCTGGGAGCCATCTTCACAACTGTCAACGGTCTTGATGGTGTGTCACTTATCATCAGCCGTAATCACATCTCCTCATGTACTGCCAATAAAATGAATTTTGTTGTTTTAAGAGATGGGGTGAAAATATGTTTTTGGAGTTGAAGAGCTGCATAACATTGTGATGCTTAATCAAAGCACTAAATCTCAATAGAAATCTAAGTGGGTAGAAGAAAATGTACACAGGGCACATTTTGTGAACGTTTTAAGTGAGAAGAAACTGGGTGTCTCCTTTGTCTGGTGTTGCCCCTCCTTCACTCGCTCGTCTGCTGGCGGAGCCTGCGGGGGCCATTTCTTCTCTGACAAACTGCTAATTAGGAGCAACAATAATTTTCACTCTTTGCATCAACTGCTGCAGGGAGGTTAGGTGAGTAGCACTGTATGATACAGTGTGTTTTTCACAGATTTGTCACTCTGGGCTCCTTGGCACTAATCAGCCTGCACTTGACAAAAAACACAATAGAGCTGACTTCCGTTTCTCAACAGATAATGTTTCACTGCTTCTCAAACTGATGGAGCGAACAGGAGTACGAACTGTCGGGTTTATCAAGCGTTAGATGTTACGTGGAAATAATGTTTTGTGGATTGGTTTGTCAGATAGGTGCATATTGAGATTGCTGAATGCTCCGAGAAAACTCCGCTCTGGCAGAAAGAGTTTATTGACAGAAGTTGCTTAAACATTGCCACTCCTGTGTTTTTGGAGCATCAAGCTAGGATTGGACAAATTCAATTCAATTTATTTTTGTATAGCCCTAAATCACAACAGTAGTTATCTTGGAGGACTTTACAAAACTGTTGAATTTGCCAACACAGACCTGAAAAATGCAATGATAACAAAAACACATAAAGCCATTGGTCCAAGAGGCAGATGAGCAATGTTTGTAAATGTTGTTGAATGTTGAGTTTCCTCATCCCCACTGTCCTCAGACCCTTCTGCATTGGTAGATAAAAACTCTAAAACGCAGTGGGAGAAATTGACAAACCTCCGGGAAGCCCACGTTGAGGGAAGGATCCGCTTCTATGGACAGGCTGTAGATCCAGGACTCAGGCTGTAGATTATATATGCCATCTATATGTATTCTGGATGTTTACCCTTCATCTTCAATATTAAAGGTGCACTATGTCACTCTTGTAGATGCTCCACCGTCTAATATTTCCATGTTCAATGTTATTTTCAGTTCGATACGATAAAGTGTCTAGGAAAAAGGACTCTTTCATTTGACAGATTTGACCCCTGACTTAAATGTCTCTGTGAAGATGGAAAAGATTAAGTTTAATGGCAACAATCCAGGCAGAGCAATGTCCATGGAGACTCCACCAGAAAAGCAGCATGAGGCACCTTTTGAACTGAGAATTATGTAGGAGTATTTTCAGTGAATACATTTGCTATAGTCCAAAATAGTATCGTCTTGGTTGTGAACAAAAAAATCAGTGTGGAGAAAGTAAATGTGCCCTAACAATGCTTTGTTTTAGTGAGAGTTGAATATCAGGACATTTGATTTTGATGACATCTCTTTTAAGTACAGGTCAGAATCTGTTTTCTGGGTCAGTGGGAGCCAGTTTTTTATATATGAATTATTTTTTTGATATTTAAACGTAAGCTTCAGGTGTTAAAAGTGAAGGTCAGTTACTGTTCAAATTGTGAAGATCGAGGGATGTTTTTCCAATACAGTGCCTTGCGAAAGTATTCGGCCCCCTTGAACCTTTCAACATTTTGCCACATTTCAGGCTTCAAACATAAAGATATTAAATTTAAATTTGTTGTCATGAATCAACAACAAGTGGGACACAATCGTGAAGTGGAACGATATTTATTGGATAATTTAAACTTTTTTAACAAATAAAAAACTGAAAAGTGGGGCGTCCAATATTATTCGGCCCCTTTACTTTCAGTGCAGCAAACTCAGTCCAGAAGTTCAGTGAGGATCTTTGAATGATCCAATGTTGTCCTAAATGACTGATGATGATAAATAGAATGCTCCTGTGTGTAATCAAGTCTCCGTATAAATGCACCTGCTCTTTGATAGTCTCAGGGTTCTGTTTAAAGCGCAGAGAGAACCATGAAGACAAAGGAACACACCAGGCAGGTCCGAGATACTGTTGTGGAGAAGTTTAAAGCCGGATTTGGATACAAAAAGATTTCCCAAGCTTTAAACATCTCAAGGAGCACTGTGCAAGCAATTATATTGAAATGGAAGGAGTATCAGACCACTGCAAATCTACCAAGACCCGGCCGTCCCTCCAAACTTTCATCTCAAACAAAGAGAAAACTGATCAGAGATGCAGACAAGAGGCCCATGATCACTCTGGATGAACTGCAGATAACTACAGCTCAGGTGGGAGAGTCTGTCCATAGGACAACAATCAGTCGTGCACTGCACAAATCTGGCCTTTATGGAAGAGTGGCAAGAAGAAAGCCATTTCTCAAAGATATCCATCAAAAGTCTTGTTTAAAGTTTGCCACAAGCCACCTGGGAGACACACCAAACATGTGGAAGAAGGTGCTCTGGTCAGATGAAACCAAAATCAAACTTTTTGGCCACAATGCAAAACAATATGTTTGGCGTAAAAGCAACACAGCTCATCACCCTGAACACACCATCCCCACTGTCAAACATGGTGGTGGCAGCATCATGCTTTGGGCCTGCTTTTCTTCAGCAGGGACAGGGAAGATGGCTAAAATTGATGGGAAGATGGATGGAGCCAAATACAGGACCATTCTGGAAGAAAACCTGTTGGAGTCTGCAAAAGACCCGAGACTGGGACGGAGATTTATCTTCCAACAGGACAATGATCCAAAACATAAAGCCAAATCTACAATGGAATGGTTCACAAATAGACGTATCCAGGTGTTAGAATGGCCAAGTCAAAGTCCAGACCTGAATCCAATCGAGAATCTGTGGAAAGAGCTGAAGACTGCTGTTCACAAACGCTCTCCATCCAACCTCACTGAGCTTGAGCTGTTTTTTCAAGGAAGAATGGGAAAGAATTCCAGTCTCTTGATGTGCAAAACTGATAGAGACATACCCCAAGCGACTTGCAGCTGTAATTGCAGCAAAAGGTGGCGCTACAAAGTATTAGCGCAAGGGGGCCGAATAATATTGCATGCCCCACTTTTCAGTTTTTTATTTGTTAAAAAAAAGTTTAAATAATCCAATACCTTTCGTTCCACTTCACGACAAGCTTTATGTGATGCAGCTCCTCTTTTAGCTTTGGTTAGCTGCTCGATAGGTCAGGTCAGTCTTTGATTTTACTGCCCTCTTAGTTTAGAGTAAATAATCTAGTGCTATCCATTACAGCAGAGGTTAGCAGTTCAATGAAATGACCACCATTAAAACTGACAGAATGTTCACCAAAGCAGCCACAACAATATCCACCAGGCTGAAACAGTGTATTCCTCAGTATCTCGTCTTTATCAGCCGAGCTAACTAGCACTTAATGGGAAAAGCCTTGGAGAGAAAGGATGGAGTGCCGTTTGAATGGGACAATACCTCCTCAATTGCTTTTCTTTGTTTTGCGGCAAAGGTCCGTGGGCAGTTCATCTCGCAGCACGTATTTCAATGAGGTGACTTTACTACGGCGGGAAAAAGATTAAAACTCAATGAGGTATAAGACAAAAGGGGGTGGGGGGGTGAGCCAGAGACCATAACCATAGTAACAGAGGAGCGGGCTCGATGGAGAGGCGGACGCAAATTCTATCACAATGCAAATAAAGTGCCTTTCAGGAGTTATTCGCCGGCGTATTGAAGAGACTCCAAATCTCTTCCCACCCGAGATCAGCAAGAGGAGATGTAGCCGTTTAAAAAAAATATTGCTCTCCTTGGGGAATGGGCACTTTGTTCATGGTCGAAGTAAATGGGAAGAAAGCAGAAACTGTCACACATTTGGAAACTGTTTTACTCAGATGGGATGATATGATAGAATATTTACGCCCTATAAAGTCCTTACAAAGCAATGCCAATGAGTGAGTTAGAAAGTGCCTAATCAACGTTTATAAAATGATTAATGAATGACGCTCTTTAATTATAAACAAGGACCTATTGCTTTACTGTGAAGTTTAGTGCACAAGGCTGATCCATTCATACACAAAAATAATGCATTTGAATGATTGAGTGTTTGTACAACCTTGGGTCATCTTAGTCATGTGTAATGTTTTCAAATCCAGCCTTGCTCCTTTCAGGGTTTGAAAACCCTTACTAAGAACTGAGCCAGAAACACAGGATGAATCTATACAGGCTGATTTGTTGAAGAGCATACAGTAAAGTGGTGTTTTTATCACATTATTATTAATGTG